CCCACATGTTCATTGTAGCACTATTCACAATAGCCAAGATGTGGAATCAACCTAAGTGTCCATCAGCAGATGAATGCACAAAGAAAATGTATATATACACAATGGAATGCTATTCATCCTTAAAAAGAAGGAAACCTATTTGTGATGGCATGGATGAGCGTGGAGGACATTATTCTAAGTGAAATAAGCTAGGCATAGAAAGACAAATACCTCGTGATCTCACTTATATGTGAAATCTAAAAGGCCAAACTTACAGAAACAGAGAGTAAAATGGTGGTTACCAGGGGCTGGGGGAGGGAATTGGGGAGATGTTGGCCAAAGGATACAAAATTTTGATTAGAGGGAATAAATTAAAGAAATCTATTGTACAACATGATGACTATAGTTAATAACAATGTATTATATACTTGCAAATTGCTAAGAGAGTAGATTTGAAGTGTTCTCACCACAAATAAATATGTGAGGTAAAAAAGAAAAAAAGAGACTTGAAACAGATATTTATAGTAGTATTATCCACAATAGCCAAAGATGGAAACAACCCAAATGTCAATTGAGAGGTGAATGGATAAACAAAATTTATATCTTCAAACAATGGAATATTATTCAGCCACAAAAAGGAAGAAAATTCTGCCACATGCTACAGCGTGGAAGAACTTTAAAGATATTATGCTAGATGAAACAAACCAGACACAAAAGAACAAATATTCCCTGATTTCATATATATGAGGTGCCTAGGGTAGCCAAATTCATAGAGACAAAAAGTAGAATTGTAGTTGCTGGGGAAGGGGAAATAGAGGAATAGGGAGTTACTGTTTAATGGGCACAGTGTTTCAGTTTGGGAAGAAGAAAAAGTTTGGAGATAAATGCTGGTGATTGTGGTACATGATGTGAATGTGTTTAATGCCACTGAACTATATACTTAAAAATGGTTAAAATAGTATATTTTATGTTATATATATTTTATCACAATAAAAAAAGCAAACCAACAAAGTAGATAACTAATCTTGAATCTGTAGTGCCACCAGCACAACCCCAACCCTTGTGAGGTAACCTTTTCTAAAATCACTTCTTTTCCTGCTTGGATTCCATACCCTGATTATCCTTAGGCTCCAAAGGAACTCCAATTTTTGTCTCATTGAGAGCTTAAATTGCTGTATTTGCCTCTTGCCTGAACTATTGCAATATTCTTTGCTGGCCTTTGTCACTAGAGCCCTTCCTAAAGGTTTCTTTCTTTCCTCCTTTTTTTTTTTTTTTTTTTTTTTAAATAAAATTTGTCTTTTGTTTGGCCTCTTGAGGCAGCACCCACTCTGTCTAAGTTTGTGCAGGTTACTACAGAAGATATATTTTTAAAAGTATATGACAGGCTGTCCAATTAGTTAATTTGGTTAGAACTGGGCATTGGTAATACCAAGGTCAAGCGTTCAGATTCCCTTACCAGCTAGCTGCTAAAACAAAACAAAAACCAAACAAAAAAAATTACATGACAAAATCACCATTGCTAAGAGTCGAATGTGTCCGTCAGAAGTTTGCATGTTGGAAACTTAATTTCCACTGTAACAGTGTTGAGAGGGTGTGAAATCTTATTACAGTAATTGAAAGGTGGGGCCTTTGACAGGTGACTAAATTGTGAGGATTGTACCCTTGTGAACGGATTGACCCAGTCATGCAATAATGAGCATGGTTCTGATGGCATTATAGGGAGAGAGACTGAGCAGTTTAACTCTCTCTCACTCAGCCCATTCTTGCCATGTGATACCGTACTTCGCTGTAGAGAGCCATCACAAAAAAGGCCCTCACCAAATGCGCTTCTTGGACTGTAGCCTTACCAGCCTCTGAACTGTAAGAAATAAATTTCTTTTTCTTATAAATGACCTAGTTTCAGGTATTCTGTTATAAGCCACAGAAACAGACAAATACAGCCACCTGCAAGGTTTTCTTTTTTTTTTTTCGGTGGGTGGCCAGTATCGGGATCCCAACCCTTGGACACCAGTATTACCAGCACCTCACTGTAACCATGAGCTAACCAGCCAGCCTAACCCCCAAGATTTTTATCCTCCTGTTGAAGAGATAGATAAGCCTCGTACACATAAAACAATAAATGATTGTAATAAAACATTTAGTACGAACATAAACATTTAGTGATGTTTACAATCTAGTTTTAATTTGAACATACTTAAGTGCCAGTGTGTATAGCATAAAGAATAAGTGTTATAGGATGTCAGAGGGGGAGCAATCATTATGGGATGGAGGCATTTGGAAAGGTTTTAAGGAGAACATATGATTTAATGTGTGTTCCGAATAGGTGGCATCAAGATATCAATCAGAAACAATTGGTTCCAAGTGATAGAAACCCAATTCATTAATTTAACTAAAAGGAATTTATCGGGCTGGCCCGGTGGCGCACTGCTATAGTGCGCCGCTTGGGAAGTGTGGCGGCGCTCCCGCCGAGGGTTCGGATCCCACATACAGACCGGTTCCCGCTCACTGGCTGAGCGAGGCGCGGGAGCAACACCGAGGGCTGCAATCCCGTTGCCGGTCCCAGTCCGGTACGGGGGCAACACTGAGGGTCGCGATCCATTGCCGGACACGGAAAAAGACAAAAAAATAATAATAATAAATAAATAAATAATAAAAATAAAAGGAATTTATCGGTGCTTAGAAGGCAAGAAAAGACTAAATAGCCACGCCATGGGAGGAGGTTAGCTGCAGCTGGACTACAGAAACAACTAGAACTGGCAACATGAATGCTAACTGGACCTTCTTTTATATTCCCATCTCTGTCTCTAAGTACCTTGATTTTATTTTCTTTTGCTGCAAACCAGTTTCCTTCACAATATTGGCAGGCAGTTAAGGAGCTCAGCAGTAGCCACTGGGGTTAAAAGGGTTCTTTTTCATTTTTAGTTCAGAATATCCCTGAGAATAACCTTATAGGCTCAGTTCAGATCAGATGCCTAGGACTGGACCAGTCAGCTGAGGGGTGGAAGGAAGTCAAGTAAACACCAAACCAAATGGTTGGGATGGGGAAGAGGAGGAATGTTGAGGAGAGAAAACATTAAGTCCATAATGAGGAGGAATGAGTGTGGTTTAAGTCAGATACTAGCTGGGATGAGAAACAAGATAAGTATGAATAATATAGATGGAGTAGGAGATTATGGAGGGCTTTGAATTTATGCAGTGGCTCATCTGGAGGCAAAAGAATATGGTGTTTAGACTGGGTGCCCCATTTTAAGAATGAAAATAAACAATCTGTTATGTGTCCAGAATGGGACAATCAGAAGACTGAATGTAAGTTGTGTTAAGTGCAGTAACTATCAAGATGTCATTGGGTTAGGAAAGAAGAAGTGAAAGCTACATCAAAGACAGCAGAGAAGGGCTGGCCGATTAGTTTGGTTGGTTCTAGTGCAGTGTTGCAACACCAAGGTCAAGGGTGCGGATCCCAGTAACAGCCAGCGCCCCCCCCCCAAACAAACAAAGCAAACAAACAAAAACCCAGCAGAGAGAACTCAGTATTTACAGTAGGTGAGGTTTTAAGGAGAGGAGCCAAGGATTTTCAGCCTGGAAGGAAGTTGGCATTTACAGAAATAGGAAAGATAAGGGAAGGAATTAATATGGGGAAATATGTTGAGTTCAGATTTAGAAATATCGAATTTGAGATGCTAGTGATATATACCACAGCTGGAGCTGCTCTACAAGAGGTCAGAAATGTATGCTGGGACTTAGGGAAAGAGATGATCAAATCGTCTGTAGATTACTCATATTTGAGAACAGAAAAGAAGGTGCAGGCTGGATTATGGCGACAGCCGCGTTTAAGGTTGTGGGAGCGGATAGAAGAGTCTGTGAAGGAGAGAGAGAATGAAGGTAAGTGTAGAGTCTAGAATTAATCAATCTCTCTCTCTCTCTCTCTCTCTCTCTCTCTTTGGCGGCCGCAGTAAGGGATCCTAACCCTTGACCTTGGTGTTATCACAAAGAATTTTTTTTTTTCTTTTTGTCTTTTTTCGTGACTGGCAACGGATCGCAACCCTCAGTGTCGCGCCCGAACCGGACCTGACCGGCAACGGGATAGCAAACTTCGGTGTTGCGCCCGCACCTCGCTCAGCCAGTGAGCCGCTGGTCTGTATGTGGGATCCGAACCATCGGCGGGGAGCGCCGCTGCGCTCTCAAGCGGCGCACTGTAGCAGTGCGCCACCAGGCCAGCCCAAGAATTTTAAGAATGAAGAGAAGGTGGGGTGGAAACTTTTTCATGCAGGAAAGATGGAAAAGGCTATTGTATTTACTGAGCTCTTTCGGAATCTTGGAGAACAACTATATTAACAGGCTCTATGGTGTCAAATTCATGCTGAGCGCTTAATTCCTGCCAGCGTTATGCTACGTGCCGGGAGAAGGAAGAACGGCAGAGTTCTGGACCCAAGAAACTCACAGCATGAAGTGAGAAGTGAATGAATAATTAAGACACAATGTTGAAAATGCTTTAACAGAGGTGTGTACAAGACGCAATAGAAACCCTGCGGAGTGGGCGACCCCCGCAGGGCGAGACTGGGAAAGGGCTGGTAGACGGGTTGCTGTCTGGGTGCCTGGTGGGTGTCCAAATATTCAGGGGGGCAATTCCAGGAGAACTGGTTTTCTGAGGCCACGGACAGAGCTTGGGGGACTGCGAGGAGATGAGGCAGGAGGGGATCATCCCCAGGCGCCTAGTGGAGAAGGGACGTTAGCAAAAACAGTGTCCTATTTGAAAGATACAGGTTTGAAGCCTGAAAGGATGCAGGAATGAGAGGAAGGAGAGGCGAAAAACTTCTCTAAATTCTCCTCACTTTCTCTAATAGGGCAGAAAAGATCAGGAGGGTGGAAGCCTGGCCTTTTGGGGACCCGGTGGACCAAAAACTTCAGTTCGCCGGACTAAGGGACCCTAGATACCCTCCTTGGCCTTCGTACTTGGCCGGAACTCTAATGTCCTTACGCTAGCTTGGCGCCGGAAGGGAAAAGAAGATGGACCCACGCCGGAAAAATGGAGAACCCGGCGGGAAAGAGCGGGGGACTCGGGCGGAAGTCACGTTTAAGCTCGGGAAGGTGAGCAGTTACTGGCTGGCGGTTGGTACGTCCGGGACGTGGGAGGGCGGCACAGCCTGGTAGGTAAAGGTTGAGGGGGCCGCTCCACCACTGTGAACGTCCAGCACACTCGAAGCCGTGCGGCGTGTTCCGTACCGCCCGGATCGGGAGCTAAACTACGGGGCTCCAGTTAGTTTTGCCTCTTAGTAGCTGTGTGACTTTGATTAATTTAATATTGGAGCCTCCGTTTCCTAGTCTCTATAATTGGAATAATAATAGTACCTCTCTCAGGGTTGTTGTGAGGAATCAATGAAAATACACTTAAGACAGTTTCTGACACATGATTAGCCTCGGATATGCAATTTTTACTTGCTTCTAGCTGCGTGGATTACGTTGTAAAAACTAACCGTCAACTCGGCCTTGTATCGTCCAGTTAATAGGTTTGACTTTATGTATATTGGCTAAAAAAAAAGAAAAAAAGAAAAAAGAAAACATGTATAATTAAAGTTATGTTATTGGAGAAGTAACAACACTACTGAGGGTTTGGAAAATAGGGTAGATAGCGTTTCTCATAATCCCATCATCCTACACACCACTTTAAGTCTTTTTCCTCTCCTTTTTTTCCCCCCCGAATCTTTTTAGTCTGTACATTATACTTGTAATGCTATTATATATGCAATTTTGGTTCCTCCTGTTTGCCACTTAGTATTGTAGCCTGAGCATGGGGTGCATGAGAATCATTTTTATGATTGTACAGTATTCTATTTAATGGGCTTATCATTTATTTGTTTTCCAAATTCCTGTATTTGTAGAGGTAGTCACTTAAGCACAACCAGTGAGGGAAATTTAAATATTATCCATAGCTCCAGGACCTCAGAACAACTGTTTTTGTTTTGTTTTGGTTTTTGTGGGGTTTTTTGGCAGCTGTTCAGTATGGGGATTTGAACCCTCCAACTTGGTGTTATCAGCACCACCCTTTAACCAAGTGAGCTAACTGGCCAGCCCAGATCAACTGTCTTTATTTTTCCTGGTTTCCTTATGTTATAGTCATGTGAAAACACTGTTTACATTATTTTCATTTATTCAGCAAACATTATTAGCATCAGTTATGTTCAAGCCCTAAGGTTAAGGAGCTCAGGCTAGACAGATAAAAGCAAGATTCTGAGCTGTAGACAGAATTGGAACCTCTGGCTTAAGAGTGGTCATGTTTCTGCGGTAGTATTACCTCAATAAGCAGGGAGATCAGGTTTATACGCTGGAGAAATTTGACCCTATGGGACAACAAACCTGTTCACCTCGTCCAGCTTGGTTCTCCCCAGATGACAAATACTTGCGACACCAAATCACCATCAAGAAACACTTCAAGGTGCTCATGACCCAGCAACCGTGTGCCCTGTCCTCTGAGGATATCTTAAATTTCATGTCTTTTCTGCCTCTAGGAAACTCTGCAACCAAACTCTACAGTCTGTGAGCCATGAAGCCTTCTTATCACCCATGCTCTTTGGAATCCAGTCCCCTCATGGCCTTTGATCATGCTTGTGTGAGGCAATCATAGCAGCATCTCGCTTAAAGAGATCAAGTTTGACTCTTTTTCATATTTTGTATTACTGCTGGATTATTAAAGATAATTTTTTTAATAAAAACAAGATTCTAATATTATGTAAGGGTTATGAGAAGTATGCACATATTCTTATCAAGGAAGAGCAGTGTCAGTACCCTCCAGTCAGAGACCACCAGGATCATGCCGTAGTTGAACAAGTTGTGTTTATTACACCTCATGAGGGAGAATGCACATCACGGGGATTCCTGGGGCATCTCCGTAAGAGGGTGTGAGAAAGGACGCAGTGGACTTGGGCTTGTGTTAGGTGATTTTAGGGAGGGTACTGCCAGGAGGTGGAGGTGATTCTGTGATTGGGAGAGAAAGCCAGAAGTAAGGCTAATGCTATGTTTAGTCAAGATGCAGCAGTAACTCATATTAGCCAAGACAGTACAATGTATGATTTTTGTGATTTGAACAATGTTCATTTTTTTTGCTGTTTTCAGACATGATTCAGCTGATCTTATTAGATCTGAGAGTGTTGCCCATGGATGTGAGGAGTTAGGTCAAGGAGGTGGGCACATTTTGGAGGGCCTTTTGTGCCATTTTAGGAGTTTATATTTCTGCAGGGAATTTCTGAAGTTTTATGAGGGGGTGTGTGCCATCATATTTAGAAAAACCCCTCGTTTCTAGACAAAGGACTGATTGGGAGAAGAGATCAGAGTCGGGGAGATGAGTTAGGACTTTGATACTTAAAGTGTGTTGCATGGGCCAACAAGGGCTTTACGTAGGAGTTTGTTAGAAATGCAGAATCTCAGGCCCCACCTCACACCTACTAAATCAGAATCTGCATTTTAGCAAAATCTCCAGGTACTTCAGAGGCACTTTAAAGTTTGAGAAGCCCTTTGTTAGGGGAATTACAGTAGTCCTGGTAAGAAGTGATAAGGCTCTGAACCAAGACACTTGTAAAGATTCAGAAATGTGGACATTTTATTTGTTCAGCAAATAGTAGTCACCTGTATGTCAGGCATCATACTGGGAGCTGGACGTACCAAAATGAAGACAGTCTCTCCCTTTAAGATACTTCCAGTCTGGTGGGGGAGACTGACAAATCAACTGGTCAGTAAACTAACAGGGAATGTGTAAGCACACAATGCAATGGGAATACGGGGCGGTGGTCTTGGTGGAGTTGGGTAGTGAAGGAAGGGTTTTGGAGAAGGTAATGGATTTCTAAGCTGAGTCTCAAGTGATAAGTTAGCCAGACAAAATTAGTAGAGGGCACTCCTGGCCTAGGAACAGCAATCGGCCAATGCCTGAAGCCTAGAGAGGGTGTCTTGGACCACAAGTATTCTCTGTGATTGGTGCACAGAGTGGGGTGAGAATAGAAATGAGGTTGGAGAGACTAGCAGAGGTCAGATCTTGGGGAGCCTTGTAGACCCTGTGGAAAAAGTTGGCTTTATTCTGAAGGCACGTTGGAGACCCTGAAGGTTTTGTTTGTTCGTTTGTTTGTTTTTGTGAGCCAATTCCTATAGCCATGAAGAGTTTTAATCAGAGAAGAGAAATGGTCAGTTTTGTGTTTTAGGCTCTTCTGGATGTTGAGTGATGGATGAGGTGGGGGGGGGGGGTTGCAAGCCTGGAGGCAGGGAGCAGAGGGAGTAGGCGACCCACCTGATGTGGGGAAAGAGGGAGGCAGGACACTTGAGAAGGATGACAAGTCCTATGTTGTAATTAGCATGGACTTGGTGCCATTTTGATGTGGACTCTTAAGCAGTTAAGGCAGGTGAGCTGGATTGTTGGACTTTGTCATTTTGAGGCTTTATTATTATTATTATTTTTTTTCTCAGTATTCCATTTATTTTCTCGTTCATTGCCATTTTCTGACTGGTGCATTGATTTTGTTTTGTTTTGTTTTTTTTAAAAAAGATGACCGGTAAGGGGATCTTAACCCTTGACTTGGTGTTGTCACCACCACGCTCTCCCAAGTGAGTGAACCAGCCATCCCTATATGGGATCCAAACCCGTGGCCTTGGTGTTACCAACACCACACTCTCCCGAGTGAGCCACGGGCCGGCCCTGGTTTTCATTTTAGTATTTCTCTCTCCTGGTCTCTGGAGCTGGGACTGGAGAAAGACAAAGAAACTGGCATTATATATTCTATTTTCTCCCAGGGGTAGCTGGGATAGATAGGAGAGGGAACTATTCTAGCCTTCCTGTTTCTGGCAGCACTTCCTTCCAGCACTCATTGAATGTTGCTGCTCAAGGCCAAGTCGCTACATTATTAGAGCTGTAGAAGTTATATTGCTGACTTCTTACTTGTAGAGAGGCAGCATCATCTAGTGGAAGGATTTAAGGCCAGGGTTCTAGTTCTACCTTCGATACTTCATAGCATGTGACCTTAGGTAAGTCACTCTACCTGTTGATGTCTGTTTCTAGACAAAGGAAATATGTACCTGACTTGTCTTACAGGATTTTTATGTGGTTTAAGTGAGATAATATATATTAGGGTGATTTGAAAATATTAAGATTGGGGCTGGCCTGTGGCTCACTTGGGAGAGTGTGGTGCTGATAACACCAAGGCCGTGGGTTCAGATCCCTATATAGGGATGGCCAGTTAGCTCACTTGGGAGAGCGTGGTGCTGACAACACCAAGTCAAGGGTTAAGATTCTCTTACTGGTCATCTTTTTTTTTTTTTTTTTTTGTCTTTTTTCGTGATCGGCTGCACCACCGCGCTCAGCCAGTGAGCGCACCAGCCATCCCTATATAGGATCCGAACCCGCGGCGGGAGCACTCCTGCGCTTCCAGCGCCGCACTCTCCCAAGTGCGCCACGGGGTCGGCCCTGGTCATCTTTTTTAAAAAAAAAAAAAAAAAGAAAATATTAAGAGTGGTATTAAAACGTGATGGTATGTATTATTGTTGCTGTTGTCTAGGTTCTATGGTTCTTTTTGAGGGCGTGGGGTGGGGTGGTTGGCCGGTACAGGGATCTGAACCCTTGACCTTGGTGTTATCAACACTGCACTCTAACCAACTGAGGTAACTGGCCAGGCTTCAGGTTCTATCTTTGAGGAACTCAGATAATGACTGATAGCTAAAGTTTAGTTGTTTGAAGTGTGGGCCTTGGACTTTGTTAGACATGAAGAATCTTGGGGATCTCATCCGACTTACTGAATCAGAGAATCTTCTTTTAACCTTTTTTGATACAACCACTTCTGAAGGTAGGGGAGGTATTGACAGCCTTACTCCTGAGGAAATGGAGGCATCAAAGATCAACTGAGCGTAAATACCTTTATTAGGTTTAGTTATGTGGAACTGCAATACTCACAATATTCACAACCTAGTAAGTGGCCAGAGCCAGGTGTCAAAGTCCAGGTGTTCTGACTTCACACACAATACTCAGTATAGCTCCACTTTTATAGATGAAGTGCTAAAATGTGAAGTTGGTTGACCAAGGTCCTAGAGTGAATTAATTGAATATTTTATTGTAAGAACCTATTGTTTCTTTAAAAATCTAGCATAAAAATTAGCTTCAGAGTTGACATAACTTCTTGAGGTAGCTTTCAGCACATACTTTTTGGGCTAATCATTAGCTCCATTCAGATGGGGCTGTGTTATTATTCATTTTGGTATTTTTCACAATGTGTAATACAGTGCTCTGCTCAGAGTAGGCACTAGGTACATGTTTGTATTTATTTATTTTTTGCGGCTGGCTGGTAAGGGGATCTGAATTTGGGTAAATATTTATAGAATTGGAAAATAAGTTCATGAATTTTACAATACATGATCTCTGTTGAATTTGAAATTGTTATGCATTCATTGCTACAGTGGTAACTCTTCAATCTCTTTTCTGTTGTAGGTGGAATTGGGCTATTTTGCTGAAGCATCTTTCCCTGGTAGCCCAGGAAGAAATTTACATTTTGACTTTTTCTCTTTTTTTTTTAACCATGGCTTTGGTTCACAAATTGCTGAATGGTACTTATATTCTCCGAAAATGCCCGAAGCCAAGTGCTGCCATGTGTCCATTTTTGGGTATTCGCTTTGCAGACTATTGTTCTAGTAGTCTTCAGAAAACAACTGCTCCCAGCAAAACATCCCCACAGAGGAAGACTGGAGGGGGTTTGCAAGGACATCACCAGAAAGAAGTTGCTCTGGATATAACTTCTCCTGAGGAGGAGCTTGAAGTTAGTTTTGATAAAGCAATTAGAGATGAAATAAAAGACCATTTTAGGCATTTGAAGGATGAAATTGTGAATCATTGGATAGGGCCGGAAGGCCGTCCTCTGCATGAGGTCTTGCTGGAACAAGCCAAGGTCGTCTGGCAGTTCCGTGGAAAAGAAGATTTGGATAAGTGGATAGTGACTTCTGATAAGACGATTGGAGGCAGAAGTGAAGTGTTCTTGAAAATGGGCAAGAATAACCAAAGTGCACTGCTCTATGGAACTCTGAGCTCTGAGGCGCCTCAAGACGGGGAGAGTAGCCAAAGTGGGTATTGTGCATTGATATCCAGGATTCCAAGGGTAAGTGAGGCCCAAGAGCCACAGTGTTTTAGAGAACTGGGGTGAACTTCATAATTCATGAATTCTAGCAGACAGCTTTTGTTTCTGTACGTGAAAACACCTAGTATGTTATACAGCGGCATCTTACCTGTGCAGGAGGCAAATTACTACTAGGTATAAGTGTAAAGTGGAAGCACAAAGGAGAAGCGGTTCTTGAGGAGGAGTTACTTGTTTCTGGGCATCACTTTGGGCCAGGGAAGAGCATTGTTATATTTGAGGCATCCAGAGACGTTAGACATTTGAAAGATATCTGGGGAGATTGGCATTTCCTCTAACATAGACCACAGTCCCTGTAATGGCGATGGGTTCCTTAGAGTGGATGTAGGATCAGCCTGTGGCTTAAAAAAAATTTTTTTAAGTAAACTTTACATTTTAGAATAATTGTAGATTTACATAAAAATTGCAATTGCCAAGATAGTACAGAGTTCCCATATACCCCTCCCCCAGCTTCTTCTGTTGTTAACATCTTATATTACTATACTACGTTTGTCATGATTAAGAAAATAACAGTGGTACATTACTGTTAACTAAGTTCCATATTTTATTTAGATTTCACTAGTTTTTCACTAATATATACTTTTTCTGTTCCAGGATCCCGTCGAGGGTATCACATTACATGCAGTTGTTGTTGTCATTATCTTTAGTTTTCTCTGGTCTGTGATAGTTTCTCAGTCTTTCCTTATTTTTTTCATGAGGATTTGAAACCTGGCCAGGTTTTTTTTTCCTTTTCTTCATTGAAAGATAATTTATTATACATATTTGTGGGGTGCAAAGTTGACTATCAGTAGTTGTGTACAATGTGTGATGGTCAAATCAGGACAGTCAGCTTATTTATCATTACAATATGTACTCATTCCTTGTTCCTTTAATCAGATTCTCATACTGGTCAGGTATTTTGTAGAATGGCCCTCAATTTGGGATTTTTCTGGTGTTTTTCTCTCCTAGTTAGACTGGGATTCTGGGTTTTAGGAAGAATACCACAGAGTTGAAATACCCTTGTTGTCACATCATATCAGGGGTACATGCAGTCATCATATCACTGGTACTGTTAAACTTGATCACCTGGTCAAGGTAGTGTTTGCCTGGTTACTTCATTGTAGAGTTACCTTTTTTTTCTTTTTTTCCTTTTCACAAGTCAGTAACTGCAGTCCACATTCATGGCTGAGGGGTGGGGAGGGATTAAGTTCTATCTCCTGGAAGGGGTAGTATCTATATAAATTACTTGGAATTCTTTAGTAAGGAAGATTTGTTTCTTTTCCCTCATGCTTTCAGTTACAGTCCAATACTGTGTCAGTATTTTGATGCTCAAATTGTTCCAGCTTTGGCCATTGAGAGCTCTTTCAGGTTCACTCCTGCTCCTTTGACATGCCCCCATCCTTTTGTTTCTTTTGAGCACATTTTGGCACTGTTAGATACTCTGATCTTGTATTTTCCCTGACCCAACCCTAGAATTAGCCATTTCTCAAAGGAGCCCTGATTCTGTTTTTTTGGAGAATGGTATTAGACACCAAAATCTGGGTGCTGGGTGTGCTTGTTGCTGCAGGGTTGTCACTACTTCGAGGCCCTCTCAGTGGACACAGCTACAAAATATATGTATAAATACTAACCCATGCATACACATATGTCTGTAATTATTTCTCTGTTTAGTCATCTATATCTATATTATGTTAAACGTGGGTTCATACTGTTATCTCAGACTCTAATCCAGTACCACCTGGTTCATTCTAGTCTTTCCCCTCATGCTTATTTGCAACTTCCCTCTCTAACAGTGAGAATCCTGTGTCCTACTATCCACTGTCCATTTCCTTATTCATTCCCAGTATTTATGTAAAGCAGTTTCAGGTTTTTAACCTGTAACCCTGTGAGAAACAACTTAGCACTGGAGTACAGTGTTTATGTCTTTAGCCTAATAGTTTCCAGTTAAGACACGTTTCCCAAAGTTACAAGGTCAATGCCTTTGTCTCCTCAGCAGCCTCTGGCTTTTTGTGAATTTTGCTGACCTGTTTTTTCAGGCCTGGTCACAGCCCTTGGATGTTTGCTTGGATATTGTGCTTTAAGGAAAAAGGCAAATGTCAAGAGTAGTATTAGGTTCCCTCTTCCATATAATAATGGAAAAGATAGGTATGTACTCTTTCAGCTGCAACAAATGATACAAGTTTTTTTTTTTTTTTTTTTTAATGCCCTGAAAATTCTATGGTCATATACCTGCTGTGGAGTTATGAAAATAGTAGATTACGTTTATTAAGTGTATTCTGCTGGTCCTTGTGCCTAAGCATTTATATGCATTTATTCCATTTATTTCTCACGACAATCCTGTGAGGTAAGATCATCTCAGTTTTACAGATGAGGAAACAGGCTTGGGGAGATTTAGTAACTTTTCTAAATTACGTAGCTAGTAAATATCATATCTGAGCATTGGTGTCAAGCTAGGTCTGGGTCCTGGAGCTCACAGACCCCTCACGCCCATTGTCCAGAATGGGTCACAAAACCTTCACACGCAGATCTAGGAGCTAGGTAACTGGCCAAAAGGCCCTTGGAGCTGTAGGTTTGAGAGCATGGCCATGTGGGGCAGATGCCCGAGGCAATATATACCAGCCAAGTGGCAGTGCTGCCCATGCACACTAACTCCGCCCACACACAACTCCTTTACAAAGAATGAGCTGCAACACCCCCAACCGGACCTAAGGTGAGGGGCCTGATTAAATTATTCTATTTTCCTAACAACTGGTGTTTTTGTTTTGTTTTACTTTGTTTTAAAGAGACAGGTCTCTCTATTTTTCCCAGGCTTGAGTGGCTGGAACAGCTGTGGCTGTTCACAGGCACAGTCCCACTACTGATCAGCATGGGAGTTGTGACCTACTCAGTTTCTGATCTGGGCCGGTTCCTCACTCCTCAAGCAACCTGTACGTCCTCTGCTCCTGGGAGATCACCACACTGAAGCTGAACTTAGTGTAGACACCCAATCAGCATAGTGCACTATAGCCTAAAACTCCTGCCCTCAAGCAATCCCCTAGCCTCAGCCTCACCCTCCTGGCATTGGTATTCTTGAAATCAGATTACCTTTGAGATTGCTATAAATAAATGCCTTTGTAAATTAATACTAAATTCCACTTTTTGATTTTTTTTTTTTTGGTGGCTGGCCAGTGGGATTGAATAAATTCCACCTTTGGAGAGAGAGACAGTATAGATGTTAAACACACACATTTTGGGTTAAACAGCACTAGATATACCATTTATTAGCTGAGTGCTCAGTTTCTTTATTTGTAAAATGGGGTAGACGATATTACCTATCTCATAGGGCTTTTGTGAGGATAAAATGAGATTATGTATGCAAATACTTCATGTAAATAATCAGTGGTACTGGCTATTTGTTTTTTGGCTGTAAAACAAGTCATAATACATTTAAAAAGTCTAAGATCATAGGAAATATGTTCTCTGACCACAATAGCAGAAGGAAATTTAGAAAACTCACAAGTGTGTGGAAATTAACACTCTCCTAAATAAGCAATATGTAAAAAGAAAACTCACAGGGAAGTTAGAGAGAACTTTGAGATAAAAATAGATGTCCTCTTCTTTTTCTTGTTTCCACTGGTGACTCTGCTTGTGTTAATGCAGTTGAGTGCCTTGCAGGCTACTTGCACGGTGGCTGTGTCTACCACTGTGTCATCAAGCTGCTTTTGTGCAGCGGTGGCTATGGCAGTGGCTATGGTGGGTCACCTGCTTGGAAGTGGTGTTTTTGGTGTATTCCCTTCCTGTTTGTGAGTGAAGGGAGTGGCCCTTGGCTCCTGTCTTGATGCTAGCTATTGTTATTAATTCTCACTTTTAAAACTTGAACTTTATTTTTCATAGTTTTCTGACTTATGGGAAGGCAGTTGTCATAAAATGGGCCACTCAGAAGCCATTGCTGGGCCGGCCCGGTGGCGCACTGCACTAGTGCGCCGCTTGGGAAGCACGGAGGCGCTCCCGCCGAGGGTTCGGATCCCACATACAGACCGGTTCCCGCTCACTGGCTGAGTGAGGCGTGGGGGCAACACCGAGGGTTGCAATCCTGTTGCCGGTCCCGGTCCAGTACGGGGGCGACACTGAGGGTTGCGATCCGTTGCCGGACATGGAAAAAGACAAAAAAAAAAAAAAAAAAAAAAAAAAA